ATACTTTGGATATATAATTTTCTTCTTTTACTTATAATTATTCATTTTTAGGATCCATTTTGTAAATATAATTTTACTGCATTTTTATTTTCATGATATAAATTTTTTTTTTAGATTTTCTTTTTACTTGGAGTGCAAAAGTTCATGTGTGAAGGAATTTAATGAATCATATTTCAATCACAATTATTAACTTGTAATGTGATATAACTATGTAAAACTAATTTTTAAATTACTTTGAATTAACCATGTTTATTAAAAAAATCTTAATTAGATTTAAATATTAAAATATTATAATTTTAAATATTTAACATCTTTGACCTATGTTTACTATTTTAATGATATCTTGAGTTATAAGTGAAATTTTGAGGTAATTCTTATTTTATTGAAAGATTTTTTTCGAGACTTCAATTTGATGAAATACTTTGTAGAAAATAACTTCAAACAGAGTGACAATAAGGAGAGAGATAGGTAAAGTGTCAAGTGTAAAGTATCTCTTTACTAGAAATAATAATACCTTTATATAAAGTGTAGAATTCAAAAATATGTGATTTAACTTTCAAAAAGATATTATTTCACCTTAAAAAAAATTAATTTTTGTTGTTAGATTCAAAATTCAAATTTAAAACCTATCCATTATTTGCTCATTTTAATAAATTTTCTTTATGATTTAACTTTTTTTAATCAAGTTGCATTATCACTCTTTCATACAATGGAACTGAAAAAAACTTAACAAATTTCAAAGATAAAATAACAATTGTAATAAAAAATAAATTAAAATCTTATAAATAAAGTAACGGAATAACAATTTATCAACAAATCATACGATGCATATTGATATTCATCTTTAAGTAATCTACTAATATACCATACTTAACACAATGATGCTAATATAAACTTTACATCATTTAGCAAGAACATGTACCAGTTAAAAATATTTATTATCTATATATATATATATATTCATAACTAATAATAAATACTACTACCATTCATGCTTATTTAATATAAGAACAAATGATTAATCATTGCACAAAATCTTTAACGATATCACAGTAGTGAACTTCAATTTACTCATAAAGTAATAATAATTTTCTTATGTCATTTATACCATCAATTTATGAGTAATTGAAATTTAATCATACAAATTGATATTAAACAAGTTTAAAGATTAACCACTTTGTTGATTAATCATACTTTAATTCTAAAATAAATACTTTGCAAGTAAAGATATAAAAATTTCAATTTAATTTTATATCTTGCAAAATTTGTTATAGGTAAATAATGGTGTTCATAAAGTTTTAGCCATCCAAAATCAAATTATTATTCTACACTGACGCCAACATCAAGTTATAAAACAATTGATCATGCCTTATTCTTCCACGTTATTAAGTTTGGGGTTGTTTTCAACCTTTTTCGTGTGAAGGAATGGAAACTCACAATGATATTATCAATATAAAGGAATTGAAAACAGAAAATACAATATTCAGACTAATATTTTAATCCACAATACATGAAAATTGCTAGCATATTAGTTTTAAAATTTAAATGCAAAAGTAAGACCTCAATTCAGTCATGCATTAGATTTTAACTCAGAAAAACGCACGACACCTATATGTAAATTTGTCCAAAAATACGTCAATTTAAACATAAACTTTCAAATTTTGCGACTTCAACGTTAATGGTTTTAAGTATACAAAATCTAATTTTCATTATTCATTGATAACTCAAATCACAATGATCATAAATTATGTCATGAAATTAATCATTTGATAACAATTCTAAAGTACCATTCGTGCTTGATTAAAATTTATTATAAATAAAAAATTATGATTCTCAAACACATGAAAATATGAAAGGATCTTGAAAATTCCTGGTTTTGACAAACAACAATGGATAGAAACTCTAACTTTTGTCTATGCTTTAGATTTGATGCCTTTGCAATGGTAGAATTCGTAATCAACCTTGAAACACTTTTTTGTCCCTTTTTCTTTCTTTCACATGTTCTTCGATAATTAATGGAAAGATAAGAAACATAATATTATATATATAATTTCCATCAAACAATATGTCATTTTCCGAAAGTTATGTCCCTTTATTCAAAATCAAAGTATGTATCTTTTCATTTAATAATTAAATTATATTCAATTATTACATTCACACGAGAGTCTTTTACAATAAGTGAAGTAAAATTATTGTATTCAAATGAAGCATATATTAAGATAACTGATAGATGAAGCTTGTAACTCAAAAGATGAGACATAATTCTGTGCATTTTGTAACGGTTCAGTCAAAAATAATCATGACAATTTTATCGTTAGATTCTTGCATATAATTAATTAAAGTTTTACTTAACTATAATCTCTCAACTTTGGGCAATTTTGTCTATTGATATAGATGAAGGATCTGAGTTATTTTTGTATAAAAGTGGAATCCAGAGAAAGTATTCATATGTTATTGGAATAAACCCTAACAATGAAGATTATTCTTATTTTTATAAAGGTAAATAAACGTGCATATATCTTATTCAATATGGCCCATGATGGATTTATTGTTATTCTTTATCTGATAAAACTCTTTTCCCATTAATATCTTTCTTAGAATAAGATTCTTTTGGGATAACTATTCTAGGTTTATTAGTTAATATTTTTTAGCTTTAAAGCCTTGTTGAATATATAAATAATTTTGTAGGAATCAAAATAAAAATATGAAATATTTTTAGAGACAAAACTATATTTAATTAAAAATTATTAATTTTAAATGCTTAAACTTTGCCATTAAAATTGAGTTTAACAAAATTATATTATATATTGATATTCATATTATTTTTTTACAAATGTTTGGAAAATAAATTAATCGATTTTACAGGGAAAATAATTTAATCCAATTTTATAAATTCATCTTTTTATTTTGTTTGGTTCTAAATTTAAAATTTGATTGAAAGTTTAGCTAATTCAAAGCACTGTAAATTGAATTTAATTTTTGACTTCTATGTTCTGGTATAGTTTAGTAAACCTTTTATCTTACATTTTTAGATTTATTTTTATCCTATTTAGCGACCGATTTTTTTTAAATAGACAATAATTACAATATAAATTATTTAAAATATTATCAAAAGTTACAACAATTGTGATCATCTAATCAGTGACTTTTGTTGATCACATCTTGCTTTTTTTTTTTTTTTCTTTTTGAGTCAATAGAAATTTATTTTAGTACTTCTTATATCCTCTGCTCATTCTTGGTTCAAAACTTTTCAATTTATATATAACATAAAAGCGATATAATGATAAATAAATAAATAAATAAATAAATAAATAAATAAATAAATAAATGATATAAGTATAAATAAGAGGATGATACAATAATGTTATGAACAAAATTAAATAACTCTCTTAAAATTTGTTTTAACTAGATTAGGTAAGTTTTTAAAATTAAATATAAAATTCACTGTATCTAATAAGAAAATGATTTCTGAATTTTAAGTTTTCTGTTATTTTGTTTTAGCTTTCAATTCAAAATATATAAGGATATTGATGTACACTTTTTCAACTCTTTAAACTTTATTATCAATTTTGCTGTACACTTCTTATTATTTTCCAACGTCTCATTGTTAACATTCAAACTCTATTAATCATTTGAAGCCCTTCTTTTGTTGATTCTGTAAAATTTAAGGACACTCTTCTTTGCTTAAGCCCCATCATTCTTTCCAACACGCAAAATAAACTAAAAATATATTAATAAATCCTTACTAATTACATTGCGTGAAAATCTCTATCTCCATAGGCCATGTTCTTGAAATTTTGTAGATTCAATTTCATGCAATATTATTTTGCTGAGTATGTGCTATCATGTTTGTTAGACTTGTCACATTATGTATTACTTATGTTTTTGAGTTGTAAAAAGTTATTTATAATACAATTGATTGATTGATTGATTGAATTGTATGCTATTTAAATAATGATTAGTAATGAGATCAATTCATTCATAATACTCAAAATCTTTACACTCTTTCTAACATTGGTTGATTATACATCTTTTTTTTATATACTAAATGATTTTATCTTAAAACTCACATTGTGTTATTATTAGTATGTCAATTAGGCTTTAAAATATTGTAATATTAGTAATTTTGTTTTATTCACTTTTAATATTTATTTGGTAAAAAATAAACGATATAATTAAAAGTTAAATAATAACTATTTATGAAATTTAAAATATTGATTATTTTTTAATTCTCGTGTAAAATTTTTAAAGTAAAAAAATGGAAAAAATATTTTTTTATAAAATCAATTGTCATAATTGGTTTTTAATTTATGATATTTCTGTTTGTTTAACTTTTAGTCACATCTATTATATGATTAGTAATTTAGTATATAATGTGAAGGTTATTTTCGAAAATTTTTAACATCAAATCCAACATTAAATTCTTATAAATTTTTATTAAATTTTAACTATAATATGAATGATTAATTAAAATAAAAAAATTATACATTATTGTCTAAATACATGTTATTAAATATTATTAATCATGTAATAATTTTTGCATTATTCATATTAGAAAACTCAAAAATATAGGACAAGATATTATAAAATAAAAATAATACAATTTTATTAAAATTAGAGTACAAAAGTTAAACTAAATCCAAAATCATATACAAATACAGAGAATATTTCATATAAATATGCAAAAAATGATAATAAAAAATATTATTACTTTCGTGCTTGGGCTGATTTGAAAATTTATCCAAACCAATTTGAAAACGTTGGAACCACGTGGGACCAAACGCTCCCAACGAATACTGAGCGGAATCAACGGTCCAGATCTCTCCCCATTTCAAATCAACCCGTTCCGCGCCTGAAATGCCCAACAATAAAGCAAATTTAATATGTTTCCAACACTCTCACTATTTCCAACTCTGCATTCTGCAATTTCATTCATATCATATATCTCTCTCAAATACGCACTCACACTCAAAGCATAAGGTTTGTTTCGTTCGGTTTAAATGTCCACACAGAACCGTCGCTCGTCGGTTTTTTCCTCAACGGCGTCGTCTATGGCGAAACGACACCCGTCGTTGTCGTCGGGGAAGGCGAAGGCGGTTCCTCCTCCGCACGTGGCTAGAAAGAGAGAGCCTCTCACAAACCTCACCAATTTGAAAACGGCGTTTCCTGCTCCTTCTTTGGTAATCATCTTTTCGTTATTTACTCATTTATTAAACGCTGCTCAAAATCACTGAAAATTCAGAAAAAAATGATTAAAACAGAGCCTGTTTTCTCGAGCCTTTCATGTGTATCTAAACAATGGTCACTTTTAAACTTAATTTTAATTTTGATGTGTTCTGTGTAAAATTATTTACATTATCAATCAATTAAATTCGATCATAGCTATAATTTTTAAATTGATTATTATGAAAGTAACGGCTTTTATTAATACGACGTATGTGATTTAATGATATTTAGTATATTCTAATTAAATTTTTAAAGTTTTAATTTATTTAAGTCATAATGAGAAGAAGTTAATTTTTTGGATAAGACTTAGTTACAGTATAGTATCATAGGTATTTTTATCATTGTTCTTCAATTATAATTTTATCTGAGGTAAAATTTTAATTCTAAATGAAGAACAACGCTAAAACTATGGAATTACAGTTAAGTTTTGTCCTAATTTGTTTTCCGTCTTCTAGTGTTTCACCAAACATTGATGCATAATTTGTTTGCTAAGGTTTTATCTCTGGTTATAAATTAGCTTAAATTTGTGATGCAAGGTGTCATGTTCAACTAAAATTACCAAGACCAAGAAAGAGAATGAGGCTCCTGCGAGAACCAGCATCACAAGATCATCAATTCGGGAGAAGAAAGTACCAGCGTTGCAAAATGTTAACTCAAGCGCAGTTATTAATCCTAAGGCCAATTCTTTACCCCAAAGGAAAGGTGTTTCTCCTTGTATATCAGATGCCATGTCCGTTTCTATGGATGAGACAATGTCTTCCTGTGATTCTATTAAGAGTCCTGAAGTTGAATATATGGACAATTGTGATATTTCAGCTCTTGATTCAATTCAGATAAAGCCATTCAGCAATTTGAATAGTTCTGATACTACAGAACCTAAAGGTAGTGAGTGTTGAATTTTTCTTTGTATAAAACTACGTGTAAGCTTTAATTGTATGGTCAAATTTTAAGGAAAAATTAATAATTTGGTCATTCAAATTTTGGATTATGATTGTTTTTACTTATTGACAGTGAAGTGTCGAGTGTTGTATTTCAGTTTTTAATTACGTTAAGCTTTAATTGTACGGTCAAGTTCTAAGAAAAAAATAATTTGGTCTTTCAAATTCTGGGTTATGGTTTTTCACTTATTGATAGTAAAGTGTTGTAGTATTTCTTTGTTTCACTTTGTGTTTTTTAATGTAGTGTTGTTGATTTGTTTGCAGGTAATTTATGTAGTAGGGACATAATTGTTGAGTTGGGAAGAGAGGAGATTGTCAATATTGATAATGTTTACTCGGATCCGCAGCTTTGTGCTACCTATGCTTGTGACATCTACAAGAACCTACGTGAATCTGAGGTTAATCTTCGTTTTCCCTGTTAAAGAAATGATTTTTTTTTTTCATTTCTATATGGAGTATAGCGAGTTCTAGTTTTCACCACTAGTAGATGCATTGTTTGGATACAATTATTTTTGAAGAAATAATCACTTGTTTTTTCCAAAAGCTATCTCACAAAGGTGGCAAAATTAAGCTATTATTTGTTCAAAATAAGTTCAACCAAATATGCACTTAGTTGGCAAATGTTTTCTGTCAAAATGATAATTGAGTATTCTAATATCAAATTTCTGGAATCTTAGGAAAAGAAAAGGCCTTCCGCTAACTTCATGGAGACAATTCAGAAGGACATAAATGTCAGCATGCGCGCAATATTGATTGACTGGCTTGTTGAGGTAATATTTGTTTATAATAAATGCTTTTTACCTTAAAAGTACTGATCTTGTTATAATGCAACCAAAGAAGTTTGAGATAATACTACTATTCTTTGTAATATCTAACTCAAATTAGAGCTCCATAAACACAACCTTTGTGAATGCTAAACTTAAACTTTACAAATTTCAACTGCAGGTGGCTGAGGAGTATCGGCTTGTACCTGATACGTTGTATTTGACTGTGAACTACATAGATCGGTATCTTTCAGGGAATGCTATGAATAGGCAAAGATTACAATTACTTGGTGTTGCCAGCATGATGATTGCCTCGTAAGGAAGCATTATGTCCCTCTCGTGTTCTTCTATTGATGAGATTTTGACTTCTTTTATTTATTATTTTTAAATTTTTTGCCCTCTGGCATTTACATTGACATATAGACATCAATAAGAATAATTTGGTTTTTGGTTCTTGCTGGCAGTAAATATGAGGAGATTTGTGCACCTCAGGTGGAGGAATTTTGTTATATAACTGATAACACGTACTTGAAAGAAGAGGTTTGGGTTGAATTATTCAGCTAAATTTTACAGTTTCAATATGTTTCTTTCTGTGACTTGAGTTAGCAAATCTCAGCCAAGTTATTTGATGCAGGTTTTGCAAATGGAATCTGCTGTCTTGAATTATCTGAAGTTTGAAATGACAGCCCCAACAATTAAATGTTTCTTAAGGTAATAAAAAGTTTTAATAAATAGTTAGTATTAAACCTAATGAAGATCCATTGTCCTAATATTCTTTTTTTCTTTATTGATGATGTTATTTTAGACGATTTGTTGGTGCTGCTAAAGATGTCACTGAGGTATCTTTCTCGTTGTAGCTTCTCATTTATATGGTTTATGCATGTTCAAATAACATTAGACTAGCACTTATAGCGTTTACTTCCATCTTTTGCTCTTTTACCTTGTTTACATAATACATACACTGTTATTGACAAAATACCATTGTTTAATATTGTTATTGTCAGAGTCCATTTCTAAAACATTGACCATTTGTTGTGGTTATATCTATCTATTTCTCAGGTCCTTTCACTGCAACTAGAATGTCTAACCAACTATATTGCTGAATTATCTCTCTTGGAGTACAGTATGCTTTGTTATGCTCCATCACTTATAGCTGCTTCTGCAATTTTCCTGGCCAGATTTATACTTTTTCCTTCAAAGAAGCCATGGGTATGCTGCTAGCCTCAATTTCTATACCATATGTTCATAATTAAGGAAACTTTTTTGTATGATTGCATGAATATACTGTTTCTGTTTCTTGCAACAGAATTCCACATTGCAGCATTACACGCTCTACCAGCCTTCTGATCTGTGTGCATGTGTAAAAGATCTCCATCGTCTTTGCTGCAACAGTCATGATTCTAATTTACCTGCAATCCGAGAGAAATACTGTCAGCACAAGGTAATTTTTATAATAATTTTTCTAACGTGGGCTAAAAAGCAACTAATGGGAAATTAATAAATACTAAGTTTTTGTTAGAAAATATAAAATTTAATATTATTAATGTATTGAATCTTGTGTACACTAGAAAAAATATTTTTATTTGTTTTTTCCCTTTAAATCAGTTTGCTTACTTCCTCCTCATACTTCGTCTTTGTCACAGTACAAGTATGTGGCCAAGAAGCGCATCCCTCCTTCAATACCTCAAGAAATTTTCCAGAATTGAGCAAAGGAATTCATGTTGACAATTCAGTTATTGGCTGGACTGACCAAGTTTGGACATAGCTTCAGTATTTCAATGATGAACGAGGACCATGTCCTTTTGAAAAGATGGTTAGAACTTGGAATATATCTAGTGTTGTCAGACAGATCAAATGTGCGACACACTTATCATGGAGATGCTGGTGAAACTAGCATTCTACTATGGTTCGACCACAGGTCCATGGCTGGCATAAGATGTCATTAGAACTTAATGACGAATTCCCTCCTTTCTTGTATACGCAAAAGCATATCAAACGCTAATAATTTCTTGGAGTTAGAATCCCAATCTTCTGTCGATTCTCATTTTAGAGACATTCTAGGTGTTTGCTTCTATATCCAAAACATGCTCAGTTGTACATAGTGAAGTTTTCTCATTCAGATCATGAAACATACTTAAGTGGACATAATTTCATTTGATCCTTTTTTTATTTGAACTTTTTTTTTATATTTAATATAATTAAAATAGCTTATTCACATGGTTATACATGTTTTATTTTGATAGCTGTGAATTTAAAGAAAAATATTATTTAATTTTGTAAATTTTTTAACTTTTAATTTGTGCTCATATTATTTTAAATATGTTAGATAAAATTAATTTTAATGGTTTAGCATGTTATGATTAAGTTCTACAATTATAAATTAATTGTATATTATTTATTTGCCTGTTTTATTCATAAAGGACTATATATATATAGTCCTTGTTTGTTGAGTCTTCGTGGCACACCACTTTCTTCATTTTGGTTTAAATCAACTTTTGAATTCAAATTTAAAAATTAATTCAATCCAAATTCTAATCAAAGTTGAAAATTTATAAATACATTTGTAAAAGTCAGAATTTTCTTAAGAAAGGTTTAAATTACTATCCTTATTTATTTTAAAATAATTATTTTATTTTACGTAAAACTTAAACCTGTCTTAAATTAACATATATATTGTAAGATAGACAATAACTTTATAAACTTGAAACAATATTTTGGTATGTTTTGATAAATTTGTATGAACAAGTATTTAACGTATTTTCTGGATTATATTAAATTTATATTTGATGTACTTTAATAAAAAAATTATTTGATGAATTTATATATAAATATACTGTTACAAAAAAAATCTAATAATTAATCCAATTTCAATCGCATTAAGAGTATATTAGACAAGATTCATATTTTAAAACACTTTTTAGATTGAATGAGGCCATTTTTTATTTTTTCGCACAATAAGAATATCTTTCAATTAACAATTAAAATTTAAATTTATTCTCAAACGTAAAAATTAGGAAAGTAGATTTTATTTGTTTTAATGTATATAGTCTTTTTTTATATAGACAACAAATCAAATCTTATTACCATACATCATAAAAAAGTCTGACCATCAATTGAAATTGAGTTTTGTTGGTCTAATTAATTTTCATTCCAAACTAAATCAGTTCTATCAAACAGCTAATATTTACATTGTCCTACAAAAAGAAATAATAATGCCAACTACCAAATTATTTTAGAGTAAGGCAAGTTGATTTTAGTAAAATTATTTTTAAACCAACAAATATAATTAAAATATTTGTTTATATTAATCATAATAAAAAATTATTAAAATATATATTAAAACAAGAGAAATTGAGTTTGAGAATTAACTAATAAACGTATTTGAATGAGTGTTTAAGAGCACAAAAAGTTTTTACATGTCAATTCATTATTTATTTGATAAATTTTCTTTGTTGAAGATAATTACATTTGAATTAAATAAAATTATTAAAAAAAATTATTATAAGAGGCAAACTCTCTTTTCAAATCACATAAGAGTTGAGATTATTATAAACGATAATTTTTTTTTTCTAATTATTTAATAGAATTGTCAAACTTGAATTCAAGACTGTAAGTTATGTTAAAACAATTCTTGTAACTTGATTCATCTATTCGATTGTGAATATTTTTATTTGAAGTGAATTAATAATTTTTATAAAAATTAAATGAAAATATATTAATATGCTTAAAATAAAATTACTTATTCCAAGAAATAACGACAAACCCTCTTTATTAACTTATCTTTGTGGGTTGCTGTCCTTTTGGTTTCGTTTGGTCAAGGAGTTGATGTATAAGAAACCTGAAAAAAAGTAAACTGTTCTTGGGTTGATGATTTGGAGATTTTTATGTTTTTTAATTCAAATATATCTTGTGCTTCGCGATCAGCAGAACTTGCTGCAATGATGTTGGAGAGCGGGAAACAGCCAGCCACATGAAACAGAGCACACACTTTTTAACCCTTTTTCTTTTTAGTTTAATTATATTTTCTTTTTTAAATTTAAATAGTGTGCTTTTAATCTTTTAAGATTTTTTAAGTAAATTCATTTTTAAAAAATATTATTTTAAAATTTTCATTTTTCAAAATTAAGTAAAGTGAACCATCTTATAATTTTTCTCCTTAAAATATTTAAATTATTAGTTTTTATTTAAATATTTAAGCAATTACGATAAATTTTAAATATTTAAAAGTAAAAAAATCTGTAAAATTTTTAAAAACTATATGACATAGAATTAGAGTTTAGAGAGAAAACATTAAAATTTCTTAATTATGAAACTTGATGATAAATTTGAACTAGAAGATAGTTTAATTTAATAATATTTTGAGTAAAAAAATTATAGATCTTAGTTACAAAAAAAATGATTAATTTAAAAATAGAGAACTCCATTTTTTTTTTCTTTTAGCTTTAAACAAACGATGATAGCACACAAAGGAGTTTTTATGATTTATTTTTGGTCAAGGCACGTTGTGTTCCTTTTAACACATGACCCCTAAAGACATCATTCTCTTTGCTTTTAACAAATGATGGGTCTACATAGATTTAGGCTATTCCACCTTTTAACTCACCAAACTAAACATGTCATCCATTTATATTCGTCTTTGGTACTTTCACTCGTTTTGTCTGAGCCGGTGATGTTGCTGTGTGGCTTTTGCACTTCTTTTGCTACTGAAAGAAAAACATAAATAAATAAAAAGGGTGGAAGAAGAGGTTTTCATGTCTACACAGTTATAGACCGATAGAATAACAATTTAGCAACTTCCACAACCATTACTTTATATCCAAGTGGGCAAAATTTATGTGCCTCGAATATATGTAAATCATAGATATTTATGTTGCCATTTTTTGTTAGTGATTTGTCCTTTTCCATCAATTGGCTCATGTGCCAAAATTTTAGTTTTTGAATGGTTGATATGCCATTGGGATGGTACCCATAAATTTTATTTTGGGGAAAAGAAAGAGAAAAATCCATCTAATTCTTCACTTTATATAGACCCACCTTAGCTGTCTTGTTGCATGCTTATCTTCTATGTACGACTTATCTGAAACGCAGACCAAAATGGAGCAAATGTGTAGTTAGCTTTGGAATTGTGATAACCAAAGTTGCTTCAACAAATAAGGCAACAAGGGAATAGTTTTATTTATAAGGATAAGCAAGCTCATACAAGAGAAACATTGACATTTTAAACTACATAAACCTTTCCCTGTGACACTGATCAAAAAGGACTATCAACCCATAAGCTTATATTCTATGATCCATCGTATCTCATAACCCTACCCTTAACAATTTATAGTTTACTTTGTCGCTTAATTTGGAATAATAGCAGCACTAAAGTTCAACCTTTGCATTTCATTTTCTTTTTATAAAGATTTTATGCTGCTAGTCTAGCAGATGCATTACGATCTTTGGAAGGATAAATTTGAATACTGGATTATTTTTAAGAAAAAAAAATAACGAGATTCGATTGCATTATATTGGATATTTAAAAAAGAAAAAGATAATGCTATTAATTTGAAGAGTACTAGGTTCCACCATAATCCACAAAGCAAGAAGAAGATTAGCATCCTATTCCAAATATTTTGCCTGGTCACCTTATCTCCATCTCTATATCATCTAGCCACTTCAGATTTTTCGACATGTTCCATGGATCTCAGCTTCGTCAATATTTCCCTTTTGTATATTTTACATTTGAAATCTAGCAATTTTCCTACATTGGTTTGAGGACGTTCTTTCATGGTAATATATTTTCACTATAGCAAACTAAGGTATTAGGGTTTGCCAACCCATGAAAATCGATTAGGCTAAACTGTTTAATATAAAAAAAAATATAAAATAATGTACATATTTGTTGTTAATAGTTGTCATCCTCTATTTATACATATTTTTCAAATTATATTCTATAGATTTTATTTATTTTTTAATGTTATCGTTCATCATCTTTAACCATTAGTTGAGTTATAGGATCAAATATAAGTTTGTAATAATCAATTGTTTCATTTACTAAGTTATCTTAATTTGTTAGGATGGTGCTCTATTACCTTTAAAATTTTATGCACAAATATGTTTAACTTTCTATATATCCTCCAATCAAGATGTAAATAGACCACATCTTTCTCTTTGTAAGAATCAATGATGACAACTAAACCGTGTATTTGTTTCACCATAACTCAGCCAAAAAGGTTTTATGTCAACCATACAATAAGGATATACTAATCTCCCATGTGTACTTTATGTAGATAATATACCATATGTTAAAAAGTCATTAATTGTCCAAATGAAACTTGCATGCTTTTATGACAAAACTTTGTTTCTTAGAAATATCATATCTTAAAGTACTAATAACTATTTAGTTCATTTTTCTTTTGTAGTTGATATGGCCACCATATTCTTCTTGATTTTTCAGGAAATCAAAGTACCTTTTAGGAACACACTATTTTGTAATAGATTTGCAGTCCATAGAAGACCTTACTCACTCAACATAGAAAAAAATGCCTCCACCAAAAAACGTCCATGATCCTTGTATACAATACCTTTCCTTGGACCCTTCTACAAGTACTTAACAATGCAAATAAGTGCTTCTCAGCGAGTTTCAATCAAAGAGGACATAAGTTAACTGTAACATCCTTATTTCAAAATTTTGTACAATGTATATTATATACTTTATAGTTTG